TGTTTATTTATTTATTTATTTATTCTTGAGAGAGGGAGAGAACACAAGCAGGGGAAGGACAGAGAGAGAGGGGAGTCAAGAGAATCCCAAGCAGGCTCCGTGCTGTCAGTGCACAGCCCAATGTGGGGCTCGAACCCACAAACTGTGAGATCGTGACCTGAGCTGAAATAAAGTTGGAGGCTTAACCAACTGAGCCACCCAGGCACACTTGAAATGTCTGATTTAATCATGAAGGGGGGTTTAGGATCATGAATTTTCCTGTTGATAGTTCTGTCAAAACAGTTCTTTAAAGATCGATTTTATTTTTAGAGCAGCTTTAGGCTCCCGGCAGAACTGAGAAGGTAGAGATTGTGCACGCTCCCCGTCCCCTTAAACACAGCCCGCGCCGATGGACACACTATTCTCTACTTCAGCTCAGGCTGCAGAATACCTATTTTGCAGAACAAATACCACAGATTGGGTGGTCTAAACAACATAACTTATTTTCTCGCATTTATCCCGCAGATCCCAGAAGACAGCCAGTACTCTGAGCTCTTAATTTTTTTCTACGATCGCGTATCACTTCATTGTTCAGATGTGTAATCGTTTGTATTATAAACTAATCCCCTATGGTGGGTACCAGGCTGTTTTTTCACTCCTTCGCTATTATAAACAATGCTGCAGTGAATAACCTTGTACGGCGTCAGCTCATACGTGCACAGGTGCACCTGCAGAATAGATGCCTAGACGTGGGGTTGTTGGCTCAAAGGGCTAGTAGTAACGCTCTCATAGATGTTGTGAATAGTTGCTCTGTTGCTTATTTTAACCCTTTTTTTTCTTTTTCTATCCCGGTAATTTGTTTTCCTAAATACAGCATAAATGGATTGTCTTGCTTTTCTGGGACCTGTTTGCATACCGTCCTCGCAACTGAGCTTGGGGTGGATGGTTCAGAGTTTGTGTCGTGTTGTGCCTGTGGAAATGGCCAGGGCTTGGACCCCTTTGACTCGCCTGCCTCCTTTTCTCTGCAAAAGTGCTCGTTTCCAGAGTGCCCTCCAGTGACCATCCCATGCAGAAATCTGTGTCTCAGTGTGGCCGCTGTGGCTTTAAAACGTGTTTCCTGGGGCGCCTGGGTGGCGCAGTCGGTTAAGCGGCCGACTTCAGCCAGGTCACGATCTCGCGGTCCGTGAGTTCGAGCCCCGCGTCAGGCTCTGGGCCGATGGCTCAGAGCCTGGAGCCTGTTTCCGATTCTGTGTCTCCCTCTCTCTCTGCCCCTCCCCCGTTCATGCTCTGTCTCTCTCTGTCCCAAAAATAAATAAATAAACGTTGAAAAAAAAATTTAAAACAAAAACAAAAACAACAAAAAAAACGTGTTTCCTGAAGACCAGATAGGTTGAGCACTTTTTCTTACGTCCGTCAGGCATTTGGGCATTTTCTTTTGGAAATTGCTCAAGTCTCTCAAGCCTATTTTTCTGTTGGGAAGTCTGTCTTTTTCTTAGTGACTTGAAGATACCTTTGCTCATTCTGGCTTCACTTACTCTCCTACTGGCTCTTTTCTGGAACTGAAATCCTTAATTTGGATGCAGTTCACCTTGCCCAAGTTTTATGTTTAGGGGTTTAGAGTCGTCTTTAACAAATCTCTGCCTGCTACAAGGTCATGAATATGTTTTCCTATTTTTTCCCCTAAAAGCTTCATTGCTTCACCCTTCACAGTTAGATCTGTATTTCATCTGAAGTTGGTACTTTGTGTGTGGTGGGAGACAGGAGTCAGGATACATGGTCTCCTGTATCGATAGCTGGTCGGCCCTGAGCCATCCGTCAGGAAGACCGTGCGTCCTTGTCCTGCAGCGTCAGCTTTGTGGAAGATCAAGTGACCAGGTATCTGTGGCCTCTTTCTGGAATTTTGTTCTGTTTCATCAATTGGGTTACCCTTAAGTGTACCGCTTTTGATTCTCATTTCCACCTTGTACTGTAACCTTTTCCTTCGTACACATTATTTCCCTTACTAGGGCTTATTTTAAGCTACTGATTTCCAACAAGATGAGTTCTATTACTGACTGATCTTTTAACTTATTTTTTTTATTAAGTAATCTGTACATCCAACATGGGGTTTGAACTCAAGACCCTGAGACCAAGAGTCACGTGCTCCACGGACTGAGCCAGCTGGGTGCCCCCATTACTGACTCATCTTTTGATGGTGGCATCGCGCCCAGATACAGTGCCTTCCGTGCATAGTTGCTACTTGTCGTAAATCAATAGCACCGAAGTAAACTTTCTTTTAAAAGGAACAGTCTAGGGGTGCCTGGGTTGCTCAGTCAGTTAAGCGTCCGACTCTTGATCTCAGCTCAGTTCGTGATCTCATGGTTTTGTGAGTTCAAGGCCCACGTCGGGCTCGGTGCGGACAGCACGGAGCCTGTCTGGGATTCTCTCTCTCTGCCCCTCCCCGACTTGCACTGTGCCCCGCCAAAATAAACATTAAAACAACTTTTTAAATAAAAAAATAAAAGGAACAGTCTACCTGTATTATCACAAATTTGAAAAGGTGCTCAGTCTGAAAACCTCCATCTACTCTAATTATTTTCCTGTCCCATTCCACTGAACAGCAGCTGCGGTTGGAGAAAACCGTGCATTCTCATGGTCTCTGGGTGTTTTTTCTTTGAATCTGTGCTGGGCCAGTAATGAGCCAAAAACACCTCCTCGTCTACATGGCGTGGCTGTTCAGGCTGGCAAATTCCGACACCAGCTCTGAAGCCCTAAAAGTTGGGTGTTTTGGTACGTGGCTGTTCCCCATTCTTCCTTCTCCCCCCATATTAAAGTTTACACCCATGCCCCTCGCCAGGTGAGTCAGCAGTGCCCCCCCATCAGAGCAGACGGTTTCCTTCCCTCTTGTATTGATCTTGGGCTCAGCTGTGTGATGCACTCTGGCCGGTGGGGTGGTTCACAAGGGAGTGTGACAAGATGCTTTAAATGCGTTTGCGCGGCTTGGCTTGGCTTCTTGCCATTAGAGCAACATGCTCCAGCTGGGAGCAGACCGTGGCGCAGAGCTGTTTTCATCCAGTCCGGCTGCACTCACAAAACACCACACACCGGGTGCCCGAGACAACAGAAATGTATTTGTCCACAGTTCGAGAAGTCAGATGTCCAAGATCCAGGCGGTGGCAAGGTGGCTCCCTCCTGCCACTTCCTTCCCTCTCCTGGGCTGTCCACCCCTCGTGCGTTCTCTGTGCCCGCGCACCCCCCCGCTGCCTCTGTGTGTCCACATCTCCTCTGTGAGGACACAGGCCACCCCGACAGCTTCATTTTACCTTGGTCGCCTCGGTCAAGTCCCTGCCTCTAAAAACTGTCACCGTCTGAGATCCTGGGATTAGGACTTAGACACAGCAAATGGAGCGGGGGGGGGG